ATGGGGATTATTCTACAAAGATGTGGTTCCCTTAGTCTTCCCTTCTCTCTATGATATTACCGTTTGTGATGCTTTTTAACTCAATTTATAATAAATTATTAAAACTAACTTCCTACTGGATGAGGAACTCTTGGGGTCAAAAACTGTGAAAATATCTCATTCACAAAACTAGCTTGACACATTTTAATTCATTAATTGCTCTTTGAATTGGCTTACTATTGCTGCATGACAAAATCACCACAAACTTAGTGGCTTAAACCAACGTGCATTTCTTACCTTCTAGTTTCCTTAGGTCAGAAATCTGGGCATGGTGTAACTGGGCTCTCTGCTCAGAGTCTTACCAGGCTGGGGTTTTGATACCATCTGAGATTTGGGGTTCTTTTCCAAGATCACTGGTCGTTAGCAGAATTAATCCCATTTACTTGGTGACCGTAAGCTGGAGACCACTCCTGGCTCCTAGAGGCTCCCCTTAGGTTAGCCTCACGGACTCCTCCACAGGCAGTCCACAACACAATTAGGTGTCCCTTCCTCCATTCAGGAAGGGCCCAGCTGTTATTAGAAAGCTCAACTGATTGGCCGTATTCACCCAGGATACTCTACCTTTTGATGAACTCAAAGTCAACTGACTGGCCACCTAACTTTGGGAGTGAATTCCCATCACATTTGCAAGTCTCACCCACACTCAGGGAACATACACCAGGGAAGGACAGTCTTGAAAGCCATAATGCATTTGAGATTCATTAATATTGTGTATATCTTAGAATTCTGCCTACTGTACCCTATGCGACTATCTTTCAGTTGCCTTAGTTCTAGAGAGCTGACAAATTCATTTTTATTCCTTAAGATAGCCTGTATTTTCCTGTTGACCTCGCAGGCCAGGGTGAAGCTGTTTTTTACAGTCACCTTAACTCTAACTTGTTGGTTTCATCCTCTCTTGCAAACATTTTCTCTCTTTGGGCTTCCTTCATCCTGGTTTCAGCAGCGGGGCTTCCTTCTTACAAGATTTTTCTCACTCATTTGTCCTTGTTCCTTATTATATCTGTCCCTGGTTAACAGCTTTCAAAAAACCTTTACAAATCTATTAAAAATTGAAGTCAGGTTTATTGAGGTATAATTTACATGCAGTAACATTTATATCTTTTAGTTTACAGTTCTTTGAGTTTCAAGAAATTCATATAATCATGTAAATCACTACAATCAAGATACAGAACAGTTCCTTACCACAAAATATGCTCTTGTGTCTTTTGGAGTCAACCTCTTTCGAAACCCTTTATATCTTTTAGTTTACAGTTCTTTGAGTTTCAAGAAATTCATATAATCATGTAAATCACCACAATCAAGATACAGAACAGTTCCTTACCACAAAATATGCCCTTGTGTCTTTTGGAGTCAACCTCTTTCGAAACCCCCAGGCCCTGTGACCACTGATATGTTTTGCATCCCTAGTGTTTTCTCTTTCCAGAATGTCATATAAATGTAATCATACCAGGTAGCCTTAGTAAATCTGTAAATCTTGATTAACATAATGCATTTGAGATTCATCCATATTGTGTGTATCAGTAGTCCATTTCTTTTTATTGTCAAGTAGGATTCTGTTATATGGATATAGCACAGTTTTTTAATCCATTCATCAGCTGAGGGATATTTGGGTTGTTTTACTTTTGGGTGATTATGAATAAAGCTGTATAAAAATTCACATACAGGGTTTTTATACGTATTTATGTCTTCACTTCCATTAAGTGAGTATCTAGGGGCAAGATTGGTAGGTTGTACGATGAGGGTGTATAAGAAATTACCGTACTGTTCTCCAAAGTGATTGAATAATTTGCATTCCCAACTGTGATACGTGAGAGTCCCAGTTGTTCCACATTTTCGACAGCACTTGGCATTATCTATTTTTCTTTATTTTACCTATTCAAATAGGTGATAGTATCTCATTGTGGTTTAAATTGTCATTTGTCAAATCAGTAGAGAGGTTGAACATATGTTCATTGGCTTATTTGCTATTTATATAGCTTTTTTGATGAAGTGTTTGTTCAAATATCTTGCCCATTTTTAAAATTGGGCTGTTTGTTTTCTTATTATTCAGTTTTGAGAGCTCTTTGTATAATTTGGCTATAAATTCTTTCTTAGATATGTGTTTTAAATATATTTTCCAGTCAGTGAACTGTTTTTTCATAACAGTGCTTTTTTTTTCAAAGAGCATAATTTTAAAATTTTTATAAAGTCTGACTTATTCATTCTTTTCTTTTGAGGATCATTTTTTTGGTGTATCTAAGAAATCTTTTTCTAACTCAAGGTCACAAAGATTTTCTCCTTTGTTTTCTTTAAAAAGTTTTACAGTTTTAGGTTTAAATTTAGGTCTATGATCCATGTTGTGTTAATTTTTTAAGATGGTATAAAGTATGGATTGAGGTTTCTTTTTCTTGGCATGTGAATGTTCAATTCTTTCAGGATTATTTGCTGAAAAGACGATTCTTTTCCATTGAATTTCCTTTGATTTTTCATTAAAAATCAATTATATATATGTATGTGGATCTATTTCTGGACACAGGTCTGTTCACCTAGTGTGTCAATACCATAGTGTTTTGATTACTGAAGCTTTAAAATAAGTCTGGAATCAGGTAGTATGCTTCCTCCAACTTTTTACTTCTGTTTCATAATGGTTTTAGCTATCCTTAGTCTTTGCCTTTCCATATAGATTTTAAAATCATGTTGTTCATTGCTAAAAAATAACCTGTTAGAATTTTTATTGGGATTGCTTTGAATCTATAGATCAAGTTGGGGAGAACTGACATCTTAACGCTATTTAGTCTTTCATTCCATGAACAGCATAAATCTTCCAATTTATTTAGATTTTGTTTAATTTCAGTCTTATCTTGTTTTCAAGAGTCAGATCTTAGGCATATTTGGTTTGATCTAAACTTAAATATTCAATGTTTTTTGGTAGCATTATATTCAGTAAATTTTTATTTGAATTTGAATTTCCAATTATTTATGGGTAGTACAGAAACACTTTTGATTTTATATATTGAATCCTGTGACATTTCAAAACTCATTAATTCTAGTAGCTTTTTTTGTTGATTCTTTTGGATTTTCTATGAAGACGAACATTTCTTCTGTGAATAAAGATTACTTCTTCCTTTCTAATTTGTATATATTTTATTTCTTTTTATTGCATTGGGACCTCCTGTTCAATACTAAATAGGAATGGTGAAAGGAAACATTCTTGTCTTATTCTCAATCAGTATGATGTTGACCATTGGCATTTTGAAGATGTTCTTTATGAGTTTACATCAGTTTAAGGAAGTTTCTTCTATTCTTAGTTTGCTATGAAGCTTTTTGTTTTGTTTTGTTTTTAATTATGAATTCATATTGTCAGATGCTTTTCTAGATCTGCTGATATGATGAATTATACTGACTGGTTTTTCTAATGCTGAACCATCTTTTCACTTGGTCATGACATACTATCTTTTTCATATATTGCTGGATTCAGTTTGCTTTTTTTTTTTTTTTTTTTTTTGAGGATTTTCATCTACATTCATTAAACCATAGTTTTCTCTTCTTGCAGTGCCTTTTTCTGGTTCTGTTATCAGGATTATGTTGGTCTCATAAAATGAATGGGGAACTATTTCTTCCTAGTCTTTTTTCCAAAAGAGTTTGTGTGGAATTTGTATTGGCCTGGAATTTTCTTTGTCAGAAGGTTTTAAACTAGGAATTCAATTTTTTTAATAGACACAGGAATATTCAGATTATTTTTCTTCTTGAGTGAACTTTAATAGTTTGTGTCTTTCAAGGCACTTGTCCATTTTATCTAAGTTTCACATTTCTGGACATAAAGATGTTTATAATATTCCCTCATCTTTTAATGTCTGTAAGGTCTGTAGTGATATCCTCTCTTTCATTCTTCATATTATTAAATTATATCTTCTGTTTTCTTCTTCTTCACCAGTGTGCCTAGAGGTTTGTCAGTTTATTGATTCTTTCAAAGAACTAGTTTATGGCTTCTTTGGTTTTCTCTATTATCTTTCTGTTTTCCAGTTCCATAGATTTATGATTTTATCTTTATTATTTCCTTCCATCTGTTTGCTCTGGGTTAGTTTGCTTTTATTTTCCTACTTTCATAAGATGGAAGTTTAGTTCATCGATTTGAGAACTTTCTTATTTTCTAATATAAACATGTAATGCTATAGATTTTCCTTTAAGTACTTCTTTAGCTATATCCCACAAATTTTGATATATTGATTTTATTTTCATTCAATTTAAACTAATTTCTCTTGGGACTTTTTCACTCACTGGTTATTTCATGTTGTTTAATTTTCAAATATTTGGGGTGTTTTCCAAAGATATTTCTATATTATTTCTATTTTAAATCTGTTTCAGAAACTATACTTTGTATGATTTC